AACTTGACCTTGAAAGCCATCCCCTGTTCAGAACTTGACCTTGAAAGCCATCCCCTGTTCAGAACTTGACCTTGAAAGCCATCCCCTGTTCAGAAGCGTACTGTGCCTTTACTTTTTTCCTTCATTTGTCCATTTCTGAGTTGGCTTTCCTTGGATTCATACCAGGAACGTTGCTCTTACGAGTATCTGAAGGTCAGCACTCGTAGCACAGTGGTTATAGCGCCAGCCACATACACCTGGCTTGTTCATAACTGGCCTGCTAAATAACAATGACACCTGCAACAAAAAATAGCTGGGTGTTGTGGCCACCACCTGTAGCTACTTGGGAGGCTGAGGCAAAGAGAATCACTTAAGCCCAAGAGTTAGAGGTTGCTGTGAGCTGTGATGCCACAGCACTCTACCAAAGGCAACACAGTGAGACTCTAAAAAAAAAAAGAGTATCTGAAACTGGTGCATCACCCACTGCTCTTTCCAGGGTCATCCCGGGCAGGGGGGTCCCAGAGGAAGGCCCGGCTATGATGGCTGCAACGGAACCAGGGGTGACACAGGTCCACAGGGACCCTATGGCTCTGATGGCTTCCCTGGACTTCAGGTGAGTATTGCCACGGCGCCTGCGGGTCAGTTAGTGCTAGAACGTGTGTAGGGGTGGTGCATATAGGTGCAAACTTGGGAAGGGTTTGTCTCCTGGGGCTCAGCCCAGATGGTGCAGAGTGGAGCCCTTGGTCATAGAGGTCTTTTCTGAGAAGGGAGAGCCGCTTCCTGTTCAGTCAGTGAGGGGCAGGTGGGCATCTGCTGGGCCTTTATCGCCTGGGGGGAGCCCCCCACTCAGGGCGAGGCTGGGAGCATAATTCCCTGCCAGCTCTCAAGGCTTGACCTTCCTGAATTTCAATGTCTTCTGTGTCGATTCTGTAAATGTGAAATAGAAAAGGGGGCCTTGGTTGGTGGTCTTCACTCCGGCAGTCTCCTGGGCATCAGTGGCTTTCTGCTGTACTCCTAGTCGGTGACAAGGAGAAACCTTGGCCAGATGCTGTGGCTGTGTCTATAATCCCAGCACTCTGGGAGGCAGAGACAGGAGGATCACTTGAGCTCAGGAGTTCAAGACCCTTGTCTCTACTAAAAATGGGAAAACTAGCTGGGTGGCAGGCACCTGTAGTCCCAGCTACTTGGGAGGCCAAGGCAGGAGGATATCTTGAGCCCAGGGGATTGAGGCTGCTGTGAGCTAGGCTGAGGCCATGGCACTCTACCCAGGAAGACAGAGTGAGAGTCTGTCATCTTTATCAGATTAAAAAATCCTTTGTGACAGGAAAGTAAAGTGACATTCCCCAGCATGTATGATGCAGGAGTTTGTTTTTAATGGAAAGCCTTCCAGAGAGTAGTAACTTGTTTGCGGCCTTGTCTATTTTCAGGATCTGCTGCCTCAATGCTTTGTTGCTACCTTTTAACTGAAAATCTTGCAGATTCAGGGTTATACTAAAATTTTGTTTGGTAAGACTTCTTATTTAAAAAAGAAAAAAAAACCTTAAACCTTAACATGGAGGAAGAGTGGCCCTTAACTCCGTCACCGTGTTTCCCCCTGAGCAGTCAGCTTGTCATGGTTTCTCCTCTATCCTGCACTCCACCCTCCTTGGCTGTTTCTTTTTCATGAGGTTCAACTTTTCAATAAACTGTGTCATTTTTTCCTCTATTCTGTCATGAATCCCATGATTATGACGTGTATTTATTACTTTAAAATATCGATTTTTATGTGTAGGTGTTGAAAGCTACTTCCAAAGCACACAAATACACACACCTGCTGTTTACACTTGACACAGCTCCGGCTCCAGAGAGCAGCCCACCATCTCTCAGCCACACGTTCTTGTCCAGTACATGGATGCCAAAGAAAGCGCAATACTGTTACAAAGAAAATGCCGTTCTGGCATTCTAGAGATGCAGTTTACAGAGCATTCATTTGGGTTTTGAAAATAATTTAAATCTCGTAAAGTATCACAGTGTCAACTTTGAGGGAAGATCCTATTATGTCCATCTGAAATTAGAAGTTCACTCTGTGACTGAGCTTGGGGATTGACATTCAGAGTGCCCTCACGAGCTGTAAGGACCATTAGACAGTGCCTATAAAAGTCAATATTTAATCATCCAATTACCTTAACTGTCCTGAATGTTAATGGAATTCTTGTGTTTTTCTTTTTATAATTTATCTGCCAACTAGGGACCCCAAGGACCCAAAGGGCAGAAAGGCGAGCCTTACGCACTGTCTGAAGAGGACCGGGACCGATACAGGGTATGTTCCCCAGGGATGGGAGACACAGTTACGGGATCCAGTGCAAATTCTCAGCGAATGAAAGTAATCACCAAGTGAACCCCAAGTCACGAGAATGAACACAGTGAAGGCTGCACAGGATGTGGGAATAATCGAGAACTGTGATCATTTTTAAACTGTCTTATTTCTGTTCAGAACATCTTCAATCTTATATTTAATTATAGGCTAATCTCTTTTCCATGTTCACGGCACTACAAGCCAAGTATTAGGTAATTAGCGTGAAGAAGTCCTGATAAGACTGAAAACATTTCACAAGTACATTTCCAACTGTGGAGTAAAATGTACCTAAATCTAAAGATACTTAAAAGCTACAACTCTTAAAATTATTTCCTCTCCATTAGGGTGAATCTGGAGAGCCTGGAGTAGTTGGTTTCCAGGTAAGTTTATTTTTATTACAAGACATTCCAACAAAAGCTTAAGAACTTCAGGTGTCCAGCTACCAGGCTGCCTCTCTTCAAAACATTCTCTTATTGTCTGTCTGCAGGGGCCGCCTGGCCGCCCTGGGCCTGTGGGGCCGATGGGCCCAGTGGGAGCTCCGGGAAGACCAGTAAGTACCCAGTACCTATGTGTACTCTGGGACACTGTCACGCCTCTTCCCACACATGGCTGCTTCTGCTGTTGAATGCAGACAGAAGCTCTGAGACAAGTGTGATGTGTGGAGTCACTGTGGAAAATACCCAGGAGAGGGGCGATTCTTTGCAGCCATTCTGCTGCTGTTTACATTGCAGGATGCAAAATTGTGGTCAGCTCATCGTCAGTGGTCAGCTCACTGCCTGTGGTCAGCTCACTGCCAGTCATGTTGAATTTTGAAGTAGTGCTGGCAGGCGCCCTTCTGGTCATACATGGCTCCCCCTGCCCCACACCTACGGGGCCACAAAGGGCAAAGAAAACCAAAGCCCACAGGTCAATAAGGAGAAAATGGGCTCTGCTTGGGCCATGCCCATCACACCAGGAGTGTTACAGACAGGCTATGCCCATCATGGCAGGTGTGTCACAGCTGGGCCGTGCCCATCAGGGCAGGTGTGTCACAGCCCGGCCATGCCCATCACAGCAGGTGTGTTGTAGCCGGGCCATGCCCGTCATGGGAGGTGAGCTCTTGGCTACCGTTGCACCCAGCTGAGCAGGGGTCTATGGGCACCCTTCCTCCTCCTGCAAATCAAATGGCAGAGTGAGATGTGATGGGACGTGTATTTGGGTGCAGGGTGCTCCCTGCAGGGACAGAGCATGGAGAAGGAAGGTGAGTTGCTAGAGCTCACACAGCCCTCTGGCCACCCCGGCACACAGTGACCTGGAAGGTGGCCTGGCCACTGCACCAGGGTTTCTGGCTCCCTCATGTCCCACGTTTTTTAGTATAGTGAGGCAGGTGGGCCTTAAGTTATTCAAGGAGAGATTTTGGCTACACATTTGAGAGACCATCTCACAGGAAACCACTGCTCCAGATTGAGACAATCTGTCAGGGACACCATGGTATCAGTTTGTTGATGGGCACTGAAAGAAAATTAAGGTGTGTGCATTTGGGGAGATTCT